GCGCTACGGGTGCTGGGACTTATTATCAGGAATGTCCAATGGGCCTAATTAGGTAGACCAACCTCGATGGGCCATTGTGACTCTTTGTTTGCCACATGTCTTTATGTCTTTATGCTTTTATGTCTTTATGAGTCAAAAGGGTGATGATGAAATTTTCGCTAACTCCAGCGCTGGGCATTAACTGGCTGGTGTGACACGAATTTAGTGCTCAAGGTCTTGCGTAAAAACAAATTAAGTTTGTGGCGAGATTGAAAACACCACAACCAGACTAACTTGAGATGATCAGTGCTTACTTGCGTATTGATTTGTTATTTTAGTCGCTCAGCTGGACGCATCTGGGTGAAAAAATTCATGTTTTATGAGTTGTGTTATCTTAATGCATTAGTCAAGTTGCCATCATGTGGACCCAGCAATGTTGACTACCACGGTTTTTTCCATTGAGATATGTTTTATATCATAAAGAAAGCCAAATTGGCTCTGCTGCTATTCGTGAAACCTGGAGCACTTCCCACAATTGAAGATGGCACCCGCCAGTCGAATCCATTTTTGGACTTATTTTTGGCTGCAAGGTCTAATTCAACGCCAATTTAGGTGTTAACTATCAAACTCAGTGAAGACCTTTGATGTACAGCGTGGCGACATCTTGCGAGACCTTCAACGCAGTGCTGTAGGCCAGCACCCGTCACATCCCTCTATTACTTTTCAAAGCCAGCATCACTATGTCCACCTAGCTCCCCTCCTTGTCTGCGACGTCCATATGCTTGTTGGTGTAACGGCTATAGCATGTGATTTCTCCCTAACGCTTACAGCTATCTGTGAGTCGAAGCCTGCGCTGTGGCTGTCGCAGCTGCGGCGTGCAACGCTGCGTACCTTGTTCTCGGTGGTGCAGCTGCAGGTCACTGGTCACTGGTCAGGTCACTGGTCAGGTCACTGGTCACTGGCCAGGTCACTGGTCAGGTCACTGGTCACTGGTCAGGTCACTGGTCAGGTTACTGGTCACTGGCCAGGTCACTGGTCGGGTCACTTTCAGCGGTGCAGCTGCAGGTCACTACATTCGTGAGCGCTTCGCGACTAACGGCTGCTCTTGAGAAGGCCGGTATGACAGTGGAGACTTCGCCGCTCCTACCGAAGTTGGCAATATCTCTAGCTTTTCTTCGAGGGGGGGGGGGGCTTATTCGTTGGTTGGGGCTAGGAGCATAGTAGTTCAGGCGATTCTCCAAACTTTCAGCCATGCCTTCTGCGGTCACAGGAACTGGTCTCACGACGCTGCACAACAGCTGACCGAGGTCAACCAAAATCTGGTCTGCTGGCACTGCGGTCCCGCCGACCAAGTGTCACTAGGTGTGCTCGCCTGCCATTCGCTCCTCCTTGGCACGCTGGGAAATGTGCTTCATCTTGTTCACATGCCACCTCACTTAGCAAGCATTATCACTTAATTATTGAATATATATATATATATATATATATATATATATATATATATGTATATGTAACTGATAAAATCGTACATATATACATACATGCACACGTATATATATATATATATATATATATATATATATATATATATATATATAATAACGTGATTATTGGCCTGCCAAGAAGGAATACAGCAACGTTGCCTTGAGACAGTGCTGAGGAAGAAAGCCGTCGTTCCGTCTTGCGCGCGGGAGCATGAGCGCCAGCAGTGTAGGCTTGAAGAGGCAGTTCACTCACATACTTGTGGCCGATGCTCTTCGGCTATCTTCAGGCAGTCCCTTAACTCCTGTTATGACGTGGCGTCTTTCAAGTACAACCTCTGCATCCGAACGGCGATAGTGAGGGCCTCCTGAGGTCCGAGATCCTCTCTGCAACTCACCCAGTAGGCTATTCAGCTGCAGCGCTTTAAGGGACCTTTCAATGAACGGGCACCTCACTTCCAAATGAAGGCTTCGCCCGCCTTTGTCGTGGATTCAGTCCACTGGCGCCAGATTCAGTCAACAGTGACATGTGCATGACTGTCGGAAGTCCGTAGGACTGAACAGCCGGCCAAGTGGACGGCTGGGTTTCAATGATCAGCAAGACCGACTGGTGGCAGGCTCTGCCGTGACGTCTAAGACACCTGGTGTTCGGGCCGATGGTCGACTCGCCGCCTGGCAGCCAGACAGCTCTCTCAGCACAGCTCTCTCACAGTCAACCTCAGATTGCATCAGATTGCATACTTACCCTAATCTAACGAAACTCGGCGCTGGTTTAGCGTTACACTTGATTTACACGAGTGTACACTCATGATGCACGAGCGTACTTCACACGGTCGTGATGTACATTCCCATGAGTGTGTGATCTACACCCATGATGTACGGGCATACTTCACACGGTCGTCATGTACACTCCCATGAGTGTGTGATGCACACTCATGATGCACGGGGGTATTTCACATGACCGTGATATACACTCCCATGAGTGTGTGATGTACACTCATCATGCACGGGCGTACTTCACATGGCCATGGTGTACACTCCCGGGCATACTTCACACGACCGTGATGCACACTCCCATGAATGTCTTGGGCTGTAAGGTGATCTGTCGTAAGCGCGACCGTGAGCGCAGCGTTGGTGGCAGCATCACAGCCAGGACAAACGGGAGGGCCTGGAGCAAAGCCCTAACGGCAAACCACCTCATCATCGCCGCGCTGCTGCGTGTCTTCTTCTTTATGGTTGCAAGTTATAACAGGAGCTGGGCGACTGCCTGGAGTCAGCCCAAGAGCACGCGACCGGAAGGGTGTGGTCATGCCTTGGGAGGGGCGGTGCACGGGAACAGTTTAGCAACTATTATAACAAGAGCCATGGTATTGAGCCTCAGCAGAATGACGATCAATCACCCCGCTGGGCATAAACGCTATCGCTCCAGCCCCAGAGGTTCTTCAGCTGTTACCTGAACGTGATTTGAGTAGTCTTATTCACGGTTCTGCACTGCCTGACCGATATCCAGCTGTGTGGGATTAGCTGTTTTTGGTCTCGTACTGTTTCCTAGAGGGCAGAAGATCTGGCTTTTAATGAAAGTCACTTTAATGGGACCTCAACAACCTTCTGGGGAACCGCAATATGAGCCCTCGGAGACTTCATTGTGACATTGTAACTACTCCTCGATGTATGCCTGCAGTAGCATGATTTTTAAGCTCAGGTGTCACGTCCTAACGTAGCTGTGTGCCACTCATCACGTATCGCTTGGCAGCGAGGAGTTTCTGAACGGACACTTGAGTACATCTTAAGTGTCTATGTAAGTATCACAATTTCCTTTAAAAAACGCGTCGTATATGTAACAAATGTCCATATTATGTAAGTTTATTATAGAGGCTGCTGCTGTGAGGTATAGCCTTACTATGAGTAAGAGAAGACAACAAACGGCATATTTCGATCAGGAGAGGCGATTTTGGTGATTCATGATCAAGTTCGGCCTTCGACTTTCCTCTCCATCTTGGATTTGACGTCATGCATTAGAAAAAGCTGCAAAATGGGCTCTCACATACGAGCCTCCAATTCGTCGAGACAAAACCTTGAAACCGGGCCAACACTCAAGATGGCGGAAGTCGCCATCTTGAATCGTGAGAAATGTTCAAAGTTACATAAGTAGCAGCCAAGCTAATTTGGCCCCGCTAGCTACATAAAACTAGCTGCATAGAAGATTTCTGTCGAACGTTCGCGGTAGCTGCCATTGCAGGGTCTCATATAAGAAGCATAAGGATGGCAACTCGACTACCCGTGCCCAACCAAGTAAAAAGCGTCTTCTATAGTACATGCGTCGTATATGTAGCACATCATTATCTAATTATGGTATTTAAAATATACAGTTTCTTTCAGTGGTGCGCGTACAGTGAGTGAGAGAAGACAGCAAACGATATGCATGGATCAAAATGGGCGATTTGCGTTATTCGGGATCACCTTGACCTTCGAACCTCACCCTGCTACAGAAAACCCCTCTAAAACGATGGCACACGATCTCCAAGTCATGGAGAAAAAAACCTTGAAATTGAATCAAAATTCAAGATGGCGGCGGCCGCCATCATGGATTTTGAGAAATGCTCGAAGTTGTGCAAGTAGCAACTAAGATTATTTAGATCTCCTGTCTACAAAGAACATATTTCCGTGAAAAAGTCCGCGGTAGTCGAAATGGCAGGGTCTCCGATAGGGCGAATAAGGATGGCAACTCCACTATGTTCGCTGTTAACGATTTTACAATGCACCTCAGGCACCCGAAATTTGCAGTACTTTAGGTATGCCACATATGTGTTTCGCATGTACATTTGGCATTATTTTTAGCTGCGCCATATGAGCATGCAATTCCTCGAGATTCCTGACGGCAGATGTTTACATATTTGACGTTGTGAATTTACAACTCAGATTTGTTATGGCGTGTAACGGAATGCTGATTACTTTTCACTTATGGTCCTTAAAGAAATATTCACCACTTTCTTTCATCACAGTAACGCATTTTTTTCCAAAAACCGGAGTCATTGCTCATTTAGAAAAACGACTCCAGGTATGCCACAACGAGCCCACTCTGAGGACTATCCAAACAGTTTGCTGCGGCACAGACAGCTTTGTGTACAGCCCACCCGAAACAAAGAGCCACCAGCCCCCAGCCGCAGGTGCCTGTATATCAGGGTGCCCCACCTCTCTGCGCCGCGCGTGACGTGTCAGCTAACACCTCATACCGCCCCGGCCATTTGGGCGGCAGGTAACGTGTCAGCTGACACCTGACACCGCTCCGCCCCTCTGCACCGCAGGCAATGTGTCAACTGATACTTGACACTGTCCGGTCCCTCTGCGCCACAGGTCATGTGTCAACTGACACCTGACACCCCGGTCCCTCTGCGTCGCAGGTGATGTGTCAACTGACACCTGACACCACCCTAATCCTCTGCACCGCAGGCAATGTGTCACTTGACACCGCCCCGTCCCTCTACGCCGCAGGTGATGTGTCAGTTGTCACCTGACACCCCCCGCCCCTCTGCGCCGCAGGTGATGTGTCCGCTGAACGGAGGTGTGGTGGTGCGAAGCGCCGGAGCCGGAGCCGGAGCCGGAGCCGGAGCCGGAGCCCCGAACGCCACGGCGGTGCGCTGCCCGGTACTGCCCTCTGACGTGCAGCCTCATCTGAGCTGCACTCACCCGGCCTACTTCACCTTCTTCTGCGTGCTCATTCTGTGCACGTACCCGGCGCAGATCGAGCTGCGCCACGTGACCAAGCTGCCGCTGCTGCTTGCCACGGCGGTGCTGCACGCCTGGGTCAACGTGGCCTGGCTCGGCGAGGTCCTGGACTGCGTCGGTACCACCGTCTACAGATATCACGGGTGAGCGCGGCGACGATGTCACCAGCCGGCGATGGCATCGATGTCATCAGCAAGGTGACATCGGTGACATCACACACACTACTTCATCTAAAAATATAAGGTCTAACGACTAAAGACCTGAGGCCTTCAAAGACCTAAGGTCTCTTAAGACCTAAAGTCTTTAGATATCATGGCTGAGTTGTGGGGTTTACCGAGATCAAGGAGGTGACGTGTAGTTTACCTGCAACACTGGTGAGTCGTGACGTGTGGTTTACCTGCACCACTGGTGAGGTGACGTGTAGTTTACCTGCATCACTGGTGAGTCGTGACGTGTGGTTTACCTGCACCACTGGTGAGGTGACGTGTAGTTTACCTGCAACACTGGTGAGTCGTGACGTGTGATTTACCTGTACCACTGGTGAGGTGACGTGTAGTTTACCTGCATCACTGGTGAGTCGTGACGTGTGATTTACCTGTACCACTGGTGAGGTGACGTGTAGTTTACCTGCAACACTGGTGAGTCGTGACGTGTGATTTACCTGTACCACTGGTGAGGTGACGTGTAGTTTACCTGCATCACTGGTGAGTCGTGACGTGTGATTTACCTGTACCACTGGTGAGGTGACGTGTAGTTTACCTGCATCACTGGTGAGTCGTGACGCGTGGTTTACCTGCACC